TTCCGTGTTAGTGCTGTATTGTAGGTTAAATGAAAGTCGAAGTGGAACTGCATATATGCATTCACCAAAAGATGTTAACGATTGTATTTGATATGAATCAAAAAGAGGTGAATTAGCGGGTATAACACTCAAAATGGAGCAAACCGCGAACACGTGTTTCTGGATATTGACCACGTCGGCGTGGTGCAGCCAAGTGTTCGGATGGGCAATACTTATTTGTCAAAAACTACTCATAGACACGGAGACACCAACAGAATTCAACCGCACATTCATGATTTCGGTTAGGAAGCCTAGCATTCATAGGCAACAACTAACATACAACGTAGACAGCTAAAGCTACCTGTGTGACATCCGGGTCCGGAATATAAATACTGGAAGATGTATGAATATGAATCAAAAATACTTGAATTAGCGGACATAACACTCAAAAATGGGGCAAAACCGCGGACACGTGTTTCTGGCAATTGGTCTCGCCAGCGCGGTACAGCCAAGTGTGATGATGGGTAACACCAACAGGAACCAACCGCAAATTTGTAATTTCAGCTAGTAGACCTATCATTCATAGGCATCAACTAGCATGACCACATAGGCAACCAAAGCTGTAAATGTTGTGGATGGATTGGGATCTTTTCTTGTTTGATGCTTTTGGGAAGTTCCTGAGAAATTTTGAATGTTACCTATTTCAAAAAATTCAGTAAAATGAAGAATACCAGCAACAGCCGATACCTAAGTTAATTTCTCCAATATTTTCGAAAATGGAAACCAGTCGGAACTTTCATTATTGGGAGCTACTCAGGAGCTTCATATTTTTTATTAATGTTTCTGAATACCGCGAAATCCGAATAGGAGGCTGAATATAGAAATTTAAGTTTTTCTAGAACTTCTGATAGTTGTACGACGCAGGAAAACATCACTGAAAATATTAGCGGTTTGTGACATCAACACAAGTTATGGAACTTTCACCAGAAAATTGAAAACATATTTTCAATATCTACGCCAATAAAAACGATACAACAGAAAATGTATTTTCGAAATTTTGTGGTTTTCCCGTATATCTCCTGTTGTTTTATCAATATATTCCAATAAAACTCGAGAACAGCCAACTTTACTACAGTTTACCATACTTACTCTTTATTTCTTACTTTTTACGAACGCAAAACTTTATCTTGTTATCCAGATAAGAGGCAATAAGGCAAGTCTCTCATTCCGAAACATCAAATGACCGCCTTTGTGAGTGAAAATGTACCTATTTCATATACTATATTGTGTAGCAATCCTGTGAATGATATCTGATTCAATTACATAAGCAAAAACTGATTAGGAAAAAATATTTTTTGTATAATTAATAGATTTTTCTTTCTCAATTTGTACACGAAACTATTGAAATGGAATCATGATCCACGCATACGCGGGTTTGAATGCAACTTCGACTACATATATTTCTCTCAATAATGTATCTCTTTGAAAGTGGATTGGTTCTGATAAGCTACATAGCTAACGAGACTGTGAATATATATGGGTCTATCGGGGGATCATTGACATAGGCTACCCAGACCACGAGGATAATGACCATAGTATTCGATGCCGCTGAAATAAGAGGATTGATAACTACAAATTGTCACTGATACATGGTCCACAATTACTGCATAGAAAATCGGACGATTTAGAGTTTAAACTTGTCACTATTGCTAGGACTCTTCTCATTGAAATAAGTGAACTGTGCCCGGTTGACTGGTCATGTAGTTCTTCTCAATTAGCTCCCTCGGCTTATTGATTCGTTAGTATAACCTAAATGTTAAAAGTCCTTTTCATCTCTTCTATAACCCATTTGTGCGGTATTTTCATCTTCACTATGATTCGTTTGATGATTTTGCCCAACCCATTTTTGACTTCTCTTACCCTTCTACTGAATGTTTGAATCTTATCCCAGACCTGATCCAGTTCACTTTGAACCTCAAATATTTCACCTTGCACGTGTTTCATTCTGCTGTTTCTCTGAATACGTAGACATTACTAATTCTTGACCTTGATGTTCTTTTTTCCTTTCCATTTTTGTTGCTTTGATTGTTTTTTTCTCTTGTTCTTTCTGCTCATCTTGTTTTTACATTTCTTGTTGCTATAAGTGTTGCAGTGGCATCTCTAGGTTTTCTTTTTGTTCATCTTATTTTCTTATCCTGTTCTTCCATTTCCTTTTTCTAGTGAACTTTTTATTGCCTGCAATAAAATTGGAATAAAATGAGAAGTTTTCAATTTCGTGAAAAATATAACATTTTTGTGAGAGAAAAAATAATAATTAGAAACGATTTCTCCAAGTTTTTTAGGAAAATTTCAAGTTTGATGAAAAAATTGGTTCATACAGAAGTTGTAAATATTTTTAGGACCTATAACTTTATAGATGAGAGGTCTGGTTTCGTTGGAAATGGTGAAAAACCAATTTCCAATCCTAAAATCGATAGCTCTGTTACGCCAGCAACGCAAAGTATAGAAATCGCATTTACAAAATGTCAAAATTAGGTACTTTTTAGGTGCTTTTTAGGTACCGAAGTAAAAAATTTGGTGCTCTGTAACTTGCACCGCAACTCAATACTCAATGCGTTGCTAGCATTATGTGATGCTAGCAATGCAATGAAAATAATAATAAAATGATGAATGTTAAGGGAACACTATTAGGTGCCAATTAAGTGCTAAACGTTGAGGATCGTAAAATTTTCTAATTAATAAACAAAAGCTTCCAATTTCGCTAAACAACAGATCTAAGAATCAGGTCTCTCGAAAACGAGGACGAATAGGACGAATGCTCTATCAGGTATAAACTAAGCGTGGTAATAAAGTGCTGATTAGGTGCTTGCCAGAAATTAAGATGCGCGAATAAGCGAAACAAAAATTCGTAATACTTGATTTGAGAAAAAAAATCAACAATTTGCAATAAAGTCTTGTAGTGTCCGACCGTAAGTTCGGTTTCTGTCGAGTTTCGGCAAAAAAACGGGTTTCGGTTTAGTTTCGGTTTCGGCGCCAAACCTACCGAAACCGAAACTGCATTCGGGAGTTCCCGCGCTGTGATCGGTCATGTTCAGGCGTTGAATTTCATACAATCGACGAAGACATTTTGCCGCTTCCACGTACCTAATCATGTCGTGACTATTGTGATATTTTCACTTGCTATCGTCCAACCCGTGTTAGGAATCACACGTTAAGAGGTAAGACCTCGTTAGTTCTTAGCTCGCACAATTTTCGATTTCTGAGGGTTAATGTTCTTAGGGGTGCGATAGCTGGTTAACGAAAAAAACATATTTTAAACTTTTTTTTTAATGGTGGTTATGGGGTCCATGGTGGTTATCGGGTCCATGAACCCCATATGAAATATGGAATCTAGATTTACTATACATATCTAATGAGCACCTAATTAGCACTTTATTCTCACACCCTTACTTATCGAGGATTCCATAGATTCCACAATGCCTATGGGGCATTATGGAATCTAGGTTTACTATTATTTATCTAGTGAGCACCTAATTAGCACTTTAATTTCTTGCCCTTATTCATTAAATAACGTACTATAAAAACTTAGTAGGTACATCAGTCATGGTGGTTTTCAGGTCCATGAGCCCCATTAAAGAATCTAGTTTTAATATGAATATCTAGTGAGCACTTAATTAACACTTTATTTTGATTGTCTATGTATTAGTTTACGAATATCTCAAGACTTTATTGCATATTGTTAATTTTTTTTCTCAAATCAGGTAGGTATCTCGATTTTTTTTGCTTATTCGCGGTCGTTTTCATCTGAATTTCTTGCAAGCACCTAATTAGCAACGCAACTTTGAGTATTGAGTTGCGGTGTAAGTTACACAGCACCTAATTTTTGACTTCGGTACCTAAAAAGCACCTAAAAAGTACCTAATTTTGGCATTTTCTAAATGCGATGTCTATACTTTGCGTTGCTGGCTTAACAGAGCTAAAATCGATCCCATTTCATCCACCATACCTTGGATAAACTTCAAATTATGTTTCTCGTAATGAGCACGTATTTTGTTTCCTTCATAACTATTTTGATGCTGTTATCGTCTCTGATATTTCAAACAAGAGGATACTAGGACGCAGCAGAGAGAGAGTAATTTTCTGATTTCCGTCATGTCATATCACAATATGATATGCAATATAGTATGTCAGAAGTCAGAATTGTAGCGCAGGCGCATACCGCATTTTCTAATGAATAGTTGACTGTATCAAATACACTTATTACATATTTTTACTCTTTTATTTATTAATTATTAGGTCTTCATAATTCAAAGACTGATAAAATATGCCTGTGCGAAGAGCTCTACACGCAGGAAGTTGGTATACTGATTCAGGTACTTATCCTTTAGTCCAAATAATGATCAGCTGTTCATCACTAATTTGTAGTAACAATGTTGTTGGATTTGTTTCATGTCATTGACACCTTGCCTTATCAATTATTTTTCAGGCTCTGAACTATCCAGGCAGTTGGATTATTGGCTCAATCAAGCTGATTTAAGCCATGGACCTGCAAGAGCTATTATTGCCCCNATTCATTATAGATACCTAATTAATTGACTTAGCAGAGCCCCAACAATACTATCCTATGTACTAACGTTCATTATGTACCAAAAACAATTCTAATCAAGTTTTCACTTCTATTCATTATGGCTGAAGTCATTTGTTTTGTTATTGAAAATTATGATTGTAGTCAGGTTTTTCCAAATGTTTATGAGACAACTACGAGTGGTGCTAGCATTTGGGTAGGACGGTAGCCTGGTAAGTTGACGTGGGTGGTTTGCTCCACTCACTCAATCGACCACTGTGTGAACCGGTGGTTTCAACCGCAAAGCCGGACTATCGGTTTTCACTTCCTATCGTCCATTCCGTATTAGGAATCACAAGTTTAAAGGTAATACCTCGTTAGTCCTTAGCTTACCAGATGGTTGTCATTCTTGGCCAACTGCATATTCTCAGGGCAAATGAATCTCAGACTCAATGACCTTCATAATTCAAAGACTGATAAAATATGCCTGTGCGAAGAGCTCTACACGCAGGAAGTTGGTATACTGATTCAGGTACTTATCCTTTAGTCCAAATAATGATCAGCTGTTCATCACTAATTTGTAGTAACAATGTTGTTGGATTTGTTTCATGTCATTGACACCTTGCCTTATCAATTATTTTTCAGGCTCTGAACTATCCAGGCAGTTGGATTATTGGCTCAATCAAGCTGATTTAAGCCATGGACCTGCAAGAGCTATTATTGCCCCGTGAGTATAATTGAACTAAAAAATTGAAACATAAAATTTGTGTTACCTCAAAGAAAATGATATAAATTAGGTTGAATTTCACCAAGATTTATTTTTTTGTAGACATGCTGGATATCAGTACTGTGGAGCTTGTGGGGGTCATGCTTACAGACAAATAAGTCCACTTGTTGTACGTCGAATATTCATTTTGGGACCCTCTCACCATGTTCGTCTATCAGGTTGTGCCTTGTCTAGTGCACAGATGTATAAAACACCCCTTTATGATTTACATGTTGATTCGCAGGGTATGTAGTGAGAAAAAAATGTATCTTATCTTTCTTGTAATTGGAGTTAATTGAGTCAGTATATTGGAATATTCAGATATTGAACTTATAATGTTGCCTAAAAAAAGAACTCTTGAAAACCTCTGATTTTCTCCAAAAAATGGCTTTCCTTCAGTAATTGAGGTTATTCTTCAACCTATTGTGCGACCATTCCATTCCATACATGTTAATTCACTTTGAAATCTTTATTCACCATTATTTAAGTTTTTCTATATGACAAAATATATTCCTAGTAAAAAATATAGTAGTGATGGTATATTGATTTAGATTGTTAGATTTTACTGCTCAATCCTTAAAAATGTTACTACAAATCATTTAATGACAAAGAGAAAAATGACAAGTGAGAGTTCTTTTTCTAAATTACCAAAGAATATGCAGTTTCAGTCAAAAAAACTCCTCCATTATGTATCTAGTAAGTAAAACAGACAGGCCGATTTGAAGTTCTGTTATGCGATTGTTGAGTAAAAGTAGATGAAAATCACTTTCTATTCATTTATCTAACTATTCGTTTAGAAAATGTCAGGAGATAAAGATTTCTTTAAACCTTACAGCTCACAAAAAAACAATAGTCCATACTATTTCTTAAGCCTTATGTCACCAATTATGTCGGTAGAAAGAGGCTGGCAAAACTAACAATAATTATTTAGTTCCTTCCAAAAACATAAATATCTTTGAAAATCAAACTTTGCAGCCAGATACTTGAATGTATTCAACTAATTCTACTGTATGGAATTTTCAGAATAGCATATTTAAGACGTATAGGGATTTAATATATAGAATTTGTAACCTGTGGCGTGAATTGAATCAATTGAAAACACTTCCTGCATTAGAACAAAAATACCATATATTGACGCGTGTTTTGCTTGCCAAGTTAGCATCAGGAGAGACAGTGGTGAAGGGAAGGTGTTTTCGATACATGCATATAGAGATATTATATATGACACGGTCAAATATGATATTCCTGAATATATTCTTCTCACTTTTGACATCTCTGAAGCAGTTGAATCTTTCAGATGCCATTCATTATTATTCTTGATTTTAGTCAAAGAAGTTGATTTAAATGTTTTTATCAACCTTCAAAATAATTTGCAAAGTTAAATATACACTAACCTCTACTCCAATCACAAGTTTGTATATTGTACAAATCAGATATTAAAAGTTATTCTTCCAGTTAATAGCGAATTAGAAATGACTGGTCAGTTTGAGTGGATGGATTTGGATACTGATGAAAATGAGCACAGTATTGAAATGCACCTACCTTATATTGCTAAAGTTATGGAAAAGTGAGTGATGAAACATTTGAAACATGTTTTTCTTTTGTAGGGTCCTTTTTAAAACACAATCTTACCCCTGTTTTAGTTACAAAAATCAGTTTTCTATTGTCCCTATACTTGTGGGGTCTCTCAGTCCAGATAGAGAAGCTTGTTATGGAAGAATATTGTGTAGTTACCTAGCTGATCCAAAAAATTTGTTTGTTATATCTTCGGATTTCTGCCATTGGGGACACAGGTTTCGATATACATATTATGACCGCTCTTATGGAAATATATATCAGTCAATTGAAGGACTGGATCGTGTGGTGAGTAATATCTTTCAAAAGTACAAATAGATTCAATAAATAAAAAACATTTTTCCATTCTACTTCTTTTTCAATATATGACGAATAAGGAAGGAACTTCCTAAAAAGGAAAAAATTCAACAAAAATCAAATAATCTCAGTTTCTTTAAATTTAAACCCAAAGATAAAAAGCCATCTGAAATAACTTTTGTGCATATGTTGACTTTCGTTTATATCTTTCGTTGTTTTACCTCATAAGAAACCAACAATAATCCCCCATCATTGCTGCATCCCATCTGCCGTGGTAACGTTGCTCCATTGTCAGTATGTCTTGGTGGAACCTTTTTCCCGGGTTCTTCACTGAAAGCACCCAAATTTTCTGGGAAAAAATTCAAATGGTAGTGCAAGAAATGGATTTTGAGATACATGCGACATCCCATTCTGCAGTAGTTTTCAAGTAGTTCTTCTACAAGTGTTTCGTAATTTTCTACTTTCTTGTTCCCTAAAAACTCCGAAACAATTCTTTTTAAAAAACTTCATGCAGCTAATTCAGCATTACTTAATCTTTGATCAAACTGTTGATAACTTAATAGTTTTCTAATTTATGGTCCAACAAATATACGTTCCTTGAGCTTTGCATCACTTAATTTTGGAAAAACGTGTTTGAGATATTTAAACACATCACCTCGTTTGTCTAATGCTTTTACAAAATTTTTCATTAACCCCAGTTTAATGTGTAATGGAGGTGTAACAAAACGTTTTTGGGATTAACAAGAGGTATATTCTTCACGTCAGCTTGACCTGGAATATATTTATCTCTCGGAGTCCCATTCTTTTACTTGATAATGGCTCTGTGTTGCCCTACTGTTCCAAAGGCAAAGAAAACAGCAAAACTTTGTAAATCCGCCCTGGAGACCTAGTAAAATGACTTTTAGGTCACCACATATTTGTCACTTATACGTATTATAATTTATTGCATTTAGAATAAGTGACATACTTTCGTGTGTTTCCTTCATGACAACTGCATGTGCCATAGGATTAGAGGGTCTTTTGTTACCATTATGGAGCAGAATGGCTTTTAAACTTGTTTTATAAATAAACGCCATTCGTCCGGGTTATGTGCAAATCCTAATTTTTCCATCACACCAGTTGGATTTACACAAACACACATTTTATCCTGCATAGTAAAAAATGAGGATAGGTTTTGATTACAGTTCCTAAATATTGTAACTTTGGTTTTAGGGGCTAGTAAATTCCATTGTTGTAATCTAGACCCTAACAGTACAGCATTCTCGTTGAACAAGTGGAGGTCCCAAACTAGGTCATTTAATTCAGGTTGTTTGATAAAATGGGGTGTTCTTACTTCACTCTCAGGAAAATAAGGACCGTCTTTTTCTTGTACATCATGGTAACCTGCCTGGTCATCATACATTTCCAAATCTTCCTCCCAATTTGCCGGTGGTGTTGGAACTAGTAAACCATCTCCATGAAGAACCGGCCTTCTTGCAGAAGGAATATCCGAATATACAATTTTGTGTTTGCTCTTTCTTGAACGTTTGTCATGCAAAAGTAACAGTCGTTGTAATGATTTGTTGTTTCTCGCCGAATCATTGGAACTGCAAAAGGCATAGAAGAGCCTTTGCCATTCAACCAGTTACTTAGATTTGCTGCATAGGTTTGCCAACATACGTGAGGAGCCCAATCCCGATTTTGGATCACCAACAACACATCCAAAATACTTATGGTAAGCTACTTTGGTCATTTGAATAATTGACCGTTTCTGCGATTAAGGAGTTAACTGACCACATATATAGCAGAAACTATCTGCGGGATTGACGCAGCCACGTTTCTGTACTTTGGACATTTTTGTACTATTGCGTACGTCGAGTCAACTTATTTTAATCACAAAGATAATACTAATATAATACTCTTAATATTCATTTTCGCATTTAGGGACCAAAAATTAACTGAGAATTTTGGCATTACAGTCGTAAATTGGCTGTAAACTAGCTTAATTTGAATTGTGAAGTAAATATAAATGTTTAATTTCAGATCACTGTTGACTAAGCAATTCCATTTTTGAGTTCAGTTTTAGCTATTTTCGTGTAACTTGCTTTACGAATGTTGTTAATGGTGGGGCCGAAGTTAGTAAGATCGTTCAATATTGCAGAAGTCATACATCTTGCAGAAAGGCTGTTATTTTTTCAGACCTACAAATCATATGTTCTTTATCGTAAACGAAACATAAAATACATTTGAGCTGTGATTTCTCACTGTTGAAACTGTTGAAAGAAAATGACCTGACAACAGATAATAAACTATTTGTATGAAAATATGCCATACAAGAATGACATTACACTATGATGGTTACATTGCGATTCGCAAAAAAGAAAAGAATATTCAGATAAGTATGAACTACCTTCTTTGATGAATAATACCTATAATGATAACCAGAACGTATGAATTGAAAATTAAAGCAAACAATTAAATCTTACGTTACTTGATTTTAACGACTTCATCAGAGTTTTGAGTAGAAACTGATCAAGACTATTCGAAAATAAAAGGTCCAGTCCAATAAAAGACAGAAAATTATATGTTGATTTCTGTATACAATGTTTGTTGTCTATTCATAATTGAAGTTATATTCATTTTTTATTGTTTACATATTAAAAATTACTTATGCTCAACTACACAGGGTTATTGAATAAAGTGTAATTATTCCCGATAAGGTTTTCAAGATTACATTAAATATTGTTTCTAAATTGAATGGATTGTTTACAATTGTAATACAATTGTTTGTTTCCTTCCACATTTGTAGTTGTCTATATATTGTTCATGCAATAAGTGTTTCCAACCATTTTTTTCATTTCTTTTCAGGCAATACAAGAATTACTCAGGAATGATAGTAGTCAAAGTGCCAGTTTGAAATTTTTGAAGTATGCCCAATCAAGCCAGTGTCGCAATATGAACGATTCATCTGTAAGCTACGCCTCAGCAGCTTTAGTGCTAGATTAGTACAAATGTGGCCTTAAAATGACTCACCAGAATTTTTAGTAGCCAGCTTGGAATTAATTGTAGAACCTGAAAACTGTCCAAAGAGTTGTTTGAATTTATGGAAACTGTAATCACACAGTATTGCATACAATTTTCCCATTCCTTACTCGATTGCTATCCCAACATATATTCATTTCATTTTTTTTAACTCCATTTTTTTTCTTTGATATTTAGTTCGTGATCAAAAATAATATTTTTATAAAGTATTGTGTGATTCAATTATTCTAATAGTTCTTTGGATAAGTGGTATGCTAGCCCATTATTATGCCAATAATATGATTTATTTTTAAATTCCAATCCATATAAAAAATTCAAATTTGTGGTGGTTTTTAAAGACAAAACGTCCGGTTTAAAATCTGTGAACGCATCTTGTACATCTCAGAAACTAACAGTTAGGAAATGTTTTTTATTATTGAATATCTTGAATGAAACAAAAGTGCCGAATTTCCGTTCTTTTCGAATATCTCTGATACTACTGAAATCTCGTAAATTTTGAAAATGTCATTCAAATAAGCTCTATGATAGGAATCTGTCCCACTTTAACTGACTTGCATCTCTTACTTTTTCCGATTTTCCCATACTGGCCCTCCTTATCTTGGATAGACAGTATATTCAACTCGAACTGTTTGGACAATAAATATGTACTTTGGAATTATGTGCGAATTATATCCATTTTTAACAGAAACAGGATAGTTTTGCATCTTGTGTGTATACACACAGTCTGATACAATTAAGTGTGTACCATTGGTAACTTCGTTGATCTTGTAGGTATGAATTTGCGAACTTGTAGCATTTGTTTCTATATTGTAAAGGTTTTTCTTAGCACACAAATTCAGAAAGGCGTTACTCACTTATTTTTTTGCAAAATAACCAATGGTTCTCACTTCATATACAATATGCCCATGATAAGGAGGACCAGAATGGGGACCACGTTTTTTTAGCTGATCCCACCAGAAAAGTGACCCCACTATCCAGTGTATCCAAATTATTTGAATTCAATATTCAAAATCAACTGCTATCATTTCAAATGGCATCTTATCAAATCAGCATGGAATTACAAATAATTGAAGAACTGAAATAGCTTTATATGATTTCGATGAACATTTAGTGATTTCTTTTGACTGCAAACTTCACATAGGCATGTGGTTTATTAATTGATTTTTCAAGAGCATTCGATTGTGTAGATCACGGGTTACTAATTTTGAAAATGTGAAGTCTCAAAAGTGCGAGGGATTACTCGAGGCATGATGAAGTCATATCTAGAAAATAGAAAAAATAAGTAATTTTTCAAGATGCGCAACATCAATCAATAACAATAAAACAGGGTGTTCCTGAAAAATACAAACTTGGACAAAATTTCTTTGTTATTTATGCTTACAATCCAATAAAATATCGTCATGATCTTATGATGGTACATGTAATTACATATACTAATTTTCTCATCAAAGCAAAAATCTAATAGAATTGGCAGAAATAACTGAAACGGATTACAATATATGTGAACGTGGTTACATCTTGTCCAACAACAAAAATGCTTGGTCTCACTTTAGACCAGAAACTCACAAGGAATCTACATATTGACACACTCTGCGACAAATTGAAAAGAAATTGTTGACCAATGAGATTTATATGAAATCATTGCAGCAAGGAATTTTTATTGAGTCTGTACTATGCAGCAATCAAATGTCACATACGGTACGAAATTTTAAACTGGGGTATAGGATCTTCTGCACAAAGAGTTTTCGCATTCCAGAAGTATACCAAAAAATATCGATGGTTTAGAGTCGCAATAGTCATGTAGAGATGCCTTTGAGAATTCTCACGCTTGCTGGTCTGTATACATATATGAATTGTGTATTTAAGTATTCAAAAATATATCTTTATTTGAAGTGAACCGATAAAATCATGGTTACTCAAATTAGATAAGAAAAAAATTGTTAGGGGCCGCCCATCCAACCGCATTATTTCAAAAAAATCTTTATTTTGAACCTTGATTATTCATTAGGCTAGATAGATATTGCAATGAGAGAGTTGCATAATATTTCAATTTTTAAGACACAATCAAAAACCTATCACATTAAAAAAAATTGCTATGCTATTGAAAAATTTTTGAAACGTGAATTATTTTTGAATCTAAAGTGGGTTATTTATTTTTCAAGCGTTGTTTCACCTGTTGTGTTATATGTTGTAAGACTTACAAGGCTGATTAAATCAGACAAAAGTTGCCTATTTGGGGAAACAATACAAATTTTTTTTCAGATCACTATCAACAAATGTTTTCGAAGTATTCGTATAGAACTAACATTGATTATAATAATAATAATAATCTTTATTCAGTCCTTACAGATCACATACAGCATGATATAGGATAGATTTCGTTTCTTGTCTCTACTGCTTCAACTTCAAAAATAAGATAGATACACTTTTTGTACTGTTTGTTATGATCTGATATAAACTAATTCAGTTTTTTTTTATAAATTTCAGTAATCTTCACATCAAATTCATTCATGTATTACAATATACGTACTTCTCATTTCTTTTTGGAAAATTAGAGTCAGGTAATGTCAAATATATCTCAATAAAGTGGAGACCAAAATTATTTTTATACAGGATTATAAGACATAATTCTACATATATCACGAAAATTATCTCAATTTGATCCAAATTTTTTGTTGCTATCATAAAGGGGCTCATTATTGAAACGTATTCCCAATATTTTCATTTGTCAAAGAAACAGCAGAAATAAGCGTTTATTTTAAGAATATTTGGAGTTAATTGTATATCTTCGAGTTCTAGGTTCAAAGAATAATTGATCTGTACTTTTTTCATATTTCTCTGATACAGAACTGTATGACCTGAGGGAATTTGTGACGATAGTGTGTACTGAAATTGATGAAAAAACTAGATGCCTGTATTGAAAAAAGTTATTGACGGAACACAATGAACAAAACGGCGCATTGTTAACTAGTTCATACCAGATCACGGGAATATGAAACAACACAAAAAAGTCCTTTCCCTTATTTTCATTTTTTTATGAGGGCGGTAGAGCCAACAACTATCTAAAATAACTACTCCTCCGACAGATATTTATACAACAATCACTCTTTCTCAGTTTGAACATTCATGGGAAACGTTGTATAGGTAAATTGAAGGTAATTAATTAAATAAAAATCGTCTTTCAATAAACACTCTTTTAGTGGCATCAAAGTTTCTACTGAAAGTAAAAATTTTTAACTCCTCATCAGCAAACTGCATATTCAGAATGACGACTCAGTCAATCCTGGATAGATTTCGAAGATATGGTGTTGGCAAAAACACATCTCTTGGTCACTATATCAATAATCTCTCCATAATAAATTTTTTTCATGAATCTATTTCCCAGGGCTAGGATCGAAATAACTAGATTTTTTTAAGTAGTTCAAAAATTGTGTATTAAGGAAATGTCACAAAATTTCGAATTACTGTTGTAGTAGAGCAGAGGTGTTTCTGCCAGTCTCTAATATTCCAAAGGAATGAAAGAGTGGATGAATTGTTATTCAAAATATCCAAATACCATTGGCGAAGAGTTGAAAATTAATGTTTTCACCTGAAATGCTGGATCTAGTTTGAGAGTAAAGGTGAATTTTTATACAAATAACCTTCAATTTATTAGGTTTTGTTTCAGTTTTTGAATAAATGTTTTGATTCAATATGATGTCTAAATTAATATATCCGTAGGAGGAAGTAAATGTTTATGATGGATTTTTTGTTTTAATCTGAAATAAATGTCTATAGATGATCAAATTTTCTTGAAGAGTTATTTGATGTTTGTTAAGTTTTCTTTTTTTTTTAAATTGCCCATTTTCTAGATTAGATAGCCAAAAATTGTTTGTTTCTTTTTGAAGTTATCAAATTTAACTTGAGTTGTAATTCCCTTGGTTTCAACCTATCGTAATGTGATAGTATCTGACCATATTTGGTACAGTTGATGTACATATTGACATTCAATCCGAAATTCTGAACAATTGATCATCAGATGAAACAAAATACTTGTTTTTGTTATGTAGAATAGTTATGAAATTATCATGAACATAATACAACCTTGACAAGTCCAGAAATTGTAAGGTCAGACGTGGAGTGTCCGAAAAGTAAGCTGATGTTCTGATTATGTGTGATGTTTGAAAGTTTCTAGTTGGTGTATAATTTTTTCAATTACTACCTATATGGTGAGGAGACTGTTTGAAAAATCTGTTCTGTTTAAAATCTGTTTTTCCATTAATCAGCTGTCGCCCCCCNCATGATTTTTAAAATAACGCTTTCCTATATACCTAATAATGATTCATTTCCACGACCAACTTTCTTGGCACTTTACAAAATTAGAAAATTTGTGTAGATGCACCCTTTTCAATCTATTGAAGTTTGTACACGCAAAAAATAACTTGCTATTGTTATATTTTTGGCAATAAGCATGTCACATAAACATCAATCTGCCTACTCCTCAGGTAGTGACACGGTGTAAGGGTTCTGTGACTTGACGTCAGGGACTCAATCTACCTACTCCTCAGGTCTCGTCGCTAGTCTCTGCAAGGGTCTCAATCTACTTACTCCCAAGCGTCGACTGTTGTTCCACATATTTTGTTCTGGTAATTATGACCCTGGTCAAGTGGATGGGGAGGGACCGGTAGGAGAAACGATGGTGTAGTTGGTAGTGGGAACAGGTTTGGCCGAAGGGGGTTGTGCAATGTTGTGAGATGTATAGCGTGACAGTAATGATCTCCATGAATAAGGTAATATTTGTAAGTCATCTTGTTTGTTGAGGCATTTTTTAATTTTAATAGCTTCTCGCATTATCCTTGCCTGGAAAGTTTCTTTGGTGGTGTGTGTGTGTATATATGCGTGAGTGGGTGTGTGAAAAATACTACCAAAAAATTATAGCTTAAACAATTATTCATGTAACTATGGTGCCACAGTGAGTAATCAAGAGGCTGATTGTAGAAGTCACACCACATAATCAGAAAGTTGTGTAAATCAGTATTTTTTATTTACCTATTTTAATTGTATGTATCTATATCTTTGACATTACCACGACGTTTCGACAAGATTCCACGTGCCATATTCATATAGGTACTCTGCTTGGTGGCTGAACTTGAAACTGAAGTCATTCATGTCAATTTGTCTATTCATACGTTGCTGCAGGCTGTAGTTGTGGCGGGGTCCTGATTGGTCGACAATGTGCTTGTTTGGCGGGAAGCGTATCTTTCTGGTGTAGTATACTGGTGATCTGTTTGCAGCTTTTGAAGTCGATTTACGACCTGCATCTAGAGTTCTCCACCGGATTGCCTGGGATACCCCGGTAATAATGGTTAGCCTCCCGGAGTGCAATAATTTCTCCGCTTTTTTTTTAATTAAATGCATCCGTCGCTCGCTCGTCGCTACTCACTCGCTTTGCGGCCACAACACAGCGCCCCGCTTCGCTGCCGGTCCAAACCTGTTCGTCTCGCCGCTTGCCGAGTGCATGTGTCGCGCGTTTTGCCAGTGATGCGGAAACAAATGCAGTCTTATGTAAGCTATATTTTATGTAAAATATAATTCAAATCTTTCAGAACGCCATTAAATTACTGGAATCCGACAGAGTAACAAGCACTGAAATTCATGACATAGGTAATGATTGATCTGAAAACGGAGCTGCAAAACAGACAAGCTGGCCAATTTTATGGTGAATCTGCCATAGATTTATTAAAGCAGTTTGATGAATCGCAAAAAACAAACTTAAAAACTGAGTTCAATAACTTTTTTACGCGATGTTTGACATATTTAAAAAATTGTATACCTTTAAAGATCCGGAATGCCAAGCAATGAAAATTTCATCTTTAAAAGAACCAATCACATGGACCGACATTACTAAGTACCTACTAGACTCTAAGAATTATTAAATAGGTATTAACTTAGATAGTGACAAATTGTACAATGAGGTTGAACTTTTGCGTGAGATGCAACCACATCTCGTTGAAGAAAATCGAGTGTAGGTATTTACGCTAGGTTGACTTTTTTCCGAAATCGAAAGAGAACTTCCTGTCCTAAATTGAAAAAATGGTCATGTTTATTCTTTCCATTCCTGTCTCTAATGTTTCATGCGAGCATGATGGAGCAAGTAGAGAAACCGAATGATTATTTCTTTTGTAAAAACAGAGTTACAAGTACTAACAAACTTCGATTTTTTATGTTGAAACTTTCATGATTTTGTGGTGAAAAACCGATAAATATTAGATGATGGACAAATATTTTCCGTGGTTACCATCAATAAGTCATTTGCAGTGTCATTGGCATTTTTCTTAGCTGTATGGTCATTTGTGTCTGTGGTCTTATCTGTTTTTATGAGTAAGTGAACTAATTTCAATCCTCAAATGTATGAGTTTTCGTGTGAGGGTTTCAATAAAACATTGCATATTGTTTTTTATAATGTTTATTCCTTGCAGATCAATTTGATATTGCTTGATTATGAAAAGCAAGTGTTGCATTTCTGATTGCAAAATATAAATATTACAATAAACCCCATTTTTTTACTAATTTTGTAAAAGTATTATTCTTGTCTGTAAAATTAATTCTCCCTTCATTTTTATCAGCTTCAAATATCCTTTTCATGGTAGGCATCCTTTTATGAATAGCTGTATAAGAGTGAATGATTGTTCTGAATATTTCTTTCTCAAATTCGTCAGCTGATCCCTTGGAAGTTGAGGGTTTGTGTATAGATTTCCTTGGTGGCTTGAAGGGGGCAGCAGATGAATTGTTGTTAGCTTCAGTTATTATGCTTTCCACATAAATGACACCAACTCCACACAAACTTTAGCAACACAAAAGTTCCTTTCAGATACTAACAATTACTTCTACATGAACATTGAATAACATGAAAGGAAAAGTCCTTTCGAAACAAATACTTTTATAAGTACATTGAATTACACGAAAATCACTTTTTCCGTTCAGTTTGTAGGTACTACAAATATTTTTTATGGAATTCAAACAGGTGTATGAAAACGCTACACAAAATATGAAAGAGAGTGGTGTACTTCGAAGTGTCACGACAAGATACTTTCCTCATCAGCTCATCAGAACCTTTTTAGATAACATTTTAAGACCAAGTAATCGTTTCTTTTATAATATTACTTTATGTCACCGTGTCACGATGACAGTTCGTATATACATTCATACGGTTAATTAATCCCCTTTTCAATATGAATGTTTAATTATTGTTTGATGTAAAATTTTCAAACGTCAAGAACTCTGGTTTTTGAATGTTTTTGATCAGCAGTGTTGCAAATAGTGAAATTACCAAAGGTGTGTCTGAAATTATCCAGTTTTTGCCAGGACCCTACATTTTTCAACAGTCGGTATTTCGGATAAAAATGTATGTTAAAAGCAAGAATTGTGTTCATTTGAAAGTTAATCTCCTCGTCGGTTGATACGAAATTTTCGATTATTTCTCATAGCTCAATTTGGAAAAATTGTCCATTTCGATTTCAAAAGCCGCAAAGAAGTGAATAAATAGTGAAATAGCTGAACTTGCCGATTGATACATCTGTTTAAAAAAAATCTGTTTTTCCGTTAACCAGCTGTCGCACCCCTACGAACGACAACCCTCAGAAGTCGAAACTTGTGCGAGCTAAGGATTAACGAGGTCTTACCTTTTAACGTGTGATTCCTAATATGCAACAGCAAATTAGGTATTTTAGAACTTGTGCACAATTAGTGTATTTCTATCCTTCAAACTAAGTGATATGTAATGGAATCGGCCGATACTTGAAGGAAATCCATAACGTATTGAAGAAAACACGTTATTATGAGATTTTGACAGTTTTACAAAAACGTAATACGTGTTTCGCTATACAATAACTTCTTCAGCGTGTAAAGACACGCTGAAAATCTCACAATAAGGTATTTCTTGGATATATAGTGATAAAAAAAAGATAAAAATACACTGAATATGCACTAGTCCTCTCTACTTCCAAAATAATACGGTATAAAATGTGCCAAACACTATTAGCTGTGCTATTGACGCCAATTCAGCACATTATAGTGGATGATCAGATTTGATAAAGATTAAGTAGTGACCGGGTTTTTAATTTAACAATTTCTGTCATTACCCATAGAAATTCGATTTTCGAGTTTGATTAATCGGTAATTACCCAAAAGAAATGTGATCAGAAAATTTCCAGGAAGAACCTCTAATTACCCACGATCCTGGTAATTACCAGGTTATTGGCAAAACTGTTGAATAATGACTAACATAGTTATAACTATTGACAACTAGAGGGAGCTAAATCAAAAGTAATGACATGAATGTCAGTCGGTAAAACAGTTTGAAACCCAACTTGCCGACTGTGATGGAAATCCTTTTTATAACGTTTTGCCGCTTGTCCGATAAAGTTATTTGGCCAGTTTTGAAATTTTTTAACCAAAACATATTACGTGGTGGGACAGAATGCGGGGTTTCGATTCTTATTGAGAAATATGTAACCATCATAAATATACAGTGATTTTGTTTGGAAATGGTGTGTGCGAAATCCTATTGGTTTGTATATGTACGAGTAGAGTGCAATGTGATCACGTAATGGCGGGTAAGGCGTTACAGTGGAAATTGGTGGCGAATCCCACTGGACCTCAACCCCGTCCTAGACATGGACACCGTGCGGTTGCAATCAAAGATTTAATGGTGGTATTTGGTGGCGGAAACGAAGGGATTGTCGATGAACTGCATGTTTACAATACAGGTAATTATATGAAGTTTGAGCTTTACGGGGTAAATATGGCGCGCGATATATTTTCATCACTAGTTGTCACTTTTTGTAGGAACTTTCAGTTTTGTCTAACGTCCCTATATTTTTATTTTTGGTAGAAATATAGAAGAAATCGAAAATGGCATCAAAATTGATGAAATGTCATTTCTTGCAAAGTTTTGTTTGGACTGAGAATCAATATGGCCGCGTACACATAGACATGTTATGGTAGAACCCGGCATAAATTTGGCTTTTATTCGCTTATTAATTTGAAATTAGATTAAATCCATTTATAAGGGAAAATTGCTCGGAAATTTTTCTGTCATTTTATTTCACATTAAAATGTCATACTGCCATCTGATGTATTCCCAACCTATCTTTTTGAAGGTACGTTTGACATACAGGGTGATGCTTGAATTCTAGGGTTCAATATCCCCCACATCGTAAAACGTTTGACATAATTTATATTCAACTTGTGTTTTTATGTTTCCTTCACTCATTTTCGATAATTTAGTTTAGAGTATTCTATATATTCCCAATATGTAGAACAATGGAATCTATTAATATCAACAAAGAAATGTATTCAGTTGGATGAATGAATAAAAATAATTTAAGAATGAATGTGAGAGAAGTATGCTAAATGTGTAGAATAGGGCGTAGTAGCCGATTTTCATGAAATTTTCAGAGAAGCTTCAGTACACACCAAAATGGAAAATACATTGAAAATTTTTGCGCAAATGTAAATGTAAAATAATGTAAAACAATTTTTTTCAATAAAACATTCTAGGGGGTAAGAAGCAGACCATAATAAAAGTAAGTAGCAATGTCTTCATTATACTTGCATTATTGCCTGTAGGCATTTTTATAATTTTTTGATGAGGGGATTGACAATTTTCTGTTTCCTCACAAAGGAGGGTATTAGATATGCTTTTCAAAACACACTTTGAAACCATTGGATTTACAGTTGTTGAGTTTATGATTACTAGGAAGGCAATTTTCCCATAATTTGAGTGATTTGATTTTAGAAAGTCCCTCCTTTAGTCTAGTCTCAAAAAATTTGAGCTATTATAAATGCTATGCTTATATTTATTATTTATACACTGTTCTACAGGTTACACCGTTGATGATTGATTTTGTTTGTGAAAAAATATTATTTTCATGGTAGTAGAAGTTTATTATTATACAAAATGAATCTATAAGAGTCGCATTTGTTGAAATTATTTGCAAATCGCACCATTATATAACAATTTGTAATACTGTTTAGTCACATATCATTACTTTCAAAAGACAGACAAGGACTAGGATGTATGAATCAGTCATCAGTCTCCAAATTGAAATACATTGTCATCTGACAAATGATGAAAACACAAATCAAGTAGCATTGTTGCTCGGTTATAATTTGTTATATTTCTTCACTCTAAATAAACTCTATATTCTATGTATATTAATCGGCTCTGTATCTTCTTAATTGCTTATAACGGGATTGCCTATTTGTCTGGATTGTGTAAACAAAAATGATCATCCCTCAGATACAGTGAATCTCTATATCTGACTCTACTGGATTACTTACACTTTTGTAAATTCACTCTCTGCAGTTCTCTTCAAGTTCGTAGGCTAGGTTGGGTTATAGGTTAGGTTAATTTTTAATGATAAAACTTTACAAAATTGACATTCGCAAGCCTGTAGAAAATGTAAGAAAATAGTTCAAGACAAAATCCAGTGGGCTAAGTTTTTAACGTGCTGACAGTGTTGTTTCCACTGAAATTTACAGTTATAATTGTGAATTTGTCAATTTACAGTTGTAACTGTGAGTTATGAATTTTGGAAAAACAATATTGATATCGGTTTACATTCTATGCTTTTGTGTATGTATTGACAATTGCGATTTATTTTTTCAATCTGGCAACATGGCAACTCTACATCTGCTAACCTAAAAATTAGACATAAGATGTGACAGCTAGTGGTTTTTTTCCTGCTAATTTGTAGGAAATTATCAAACCTTTTTATTGAACATCAAAATCATACTGCAATAAATATAATCAATAATATATTGAATAATAAGGTGAGTACTAGAAAGAAATGGATTAAATTTGTCACTTTTGACCTCCTAGATTATGTTTTTTGAAAAAAAGTATTATGAAATTGTTTCCGCTCATAAATTTTAATTATTTTCTCTACTTTAGGGTGTTCTGAAGCTTTTGCAAAATTCATCAACATCTGCTACCACACCATTTCTACACCTCTTCCAGAAGTACAGAGATCAACGGTATATAAAAATCTAGTGTGAAAGCATATCTAAAAATTCATAAAAATGATTTTAATTACCCGATATTTAATTATTGAATCAATCGCCCTTCATATTAGTTCAGAGTAATAGTAATTTTATTATAGACAGCATGTATTGGGTCTACTATGGAGTTTCTCGTACATTATTTTTACTTGTTTCTCAAATTGGCATGGATATGGATCAAATGCTGGACTCGTACACCAGTCTTCAGTCACAAGTCTTGGATCAGTGATTTTCAGTAGCAACATTCATGCATGGGCATAGGTATTATATTGTATTATACCTACTCATAATATCTATGCGTACTCATGGCTAAGACTGTTGCATGAATCCCTCTTAAGATTGATAATTGAAATGCATCTGATTATAGACTACCACAGACATTTTGCTATTTTTTTAATGAATGTCTTCTTCATTGTCTAGCAACAAATCAGTGGTTCGTGCCAGTTACGAAAGGGGATGTACCTCCAGGATGTGCAGCTTATGGCTTCGTTGTGGAAGGTACCAGACTCCTAGTATTTGGTGGAATGATTGAATATGGAAAATATAGTAATGAACTATATGAATTGCAGGTAGGTAATTCTAATTATTATTGAGTAAAGAGTGAGAACAAGACTTGAAGTATATTTTTGAGCTGTTCTCGTATTTGATATATCCTTGGTCCTGTGAAAGACATTCGAAAGTATTATTTTATTTCAGCCGGAGAGGAATAGAAATTTATCTATCCTTGAAAATTCTGCATCAAGTGTAGAATTTCATCAGACAGATATAAAATTCAAAAATAAAACAAGTATAATAAAGTCTGTCCAAGATAGGAGGAACCAGCATGGAACTGGAAGAAATAGATCCCTCGAAACAACTACTTTCATATAAACATTGAATTATATGAAAGAAAAAATAATTTGGAAACTGTTACATGAAGATGAAAAAATTCAAAATTAGCCTAAAATCATAGAACATAGTAAATGTTGAAATCCAAAGTGGTGATGCTAGCTTAAAAGGGGTTTATTTTGATTGAATCCCTAAAATGAATTGAGGATGATGTTTTATTTCATTTCGGAATCATAAGTTCAATTTCAATATTGAAGAAAAAATGAAACAGATGAACGTTAAATCCGTATTGATGCTCTCCATAGAATGAGCATAATGCATAGCTGCTACAGAAAAGAGTTGCAAAAATGAAATTAATGTGAACTCTTTATTTACTTCAAAAAAATTGTTATCACATCAAGTAGCATGATTGAAATAATTACAATAAATATAGACAAATATAATGAATAGAAAAACCTCTTCGATATTTAGTATTGAGGATATGTTTTCTACTACACGATCGAGACAAAATGAACATAATTAGAGAGGTAGTTCAAGTAATCCAGTTATAGTTTGTTGATTTTGTAAATGTGGGCTATGAAACCAAATGTGTGGATCATATTCTTTGAAAAGCATTATTATAGCCTTCTTAGTTTAACCAACATTCTTTTTATCGCAATCCTTACAGCTTAATTCACGAATCTCCGACTTATCCTATTCCATCACCTTGTCTTTTGGGTTCCCCAACATCCATTGGTATATTTTGACTCATGGAAGAACTGTAAACATTGATTCATAGTCTTTCTGAAAAGTCAAGGATTTATGAAGACCTAATCTAAATTTTTACTTATTTATTATTTATACACTGTTCTACAGGTTACACCCAACTACAGAACAGGGATATAAATCAAATCATAATACAATTACAATAAGTTATACAATACATATAGAATTAGCTGAAGTAAAAAGACCTAATCTCAGAGATGGAACAGTAAAAAATGTCGAGCTGACAACTTGCCGAATTATATTTGACACCCATGTTATGCAGAGGTGAATGTTTCAGAATATTTGTACGTGATGTTGGCAGCTAAAAAGGATTAACCACTCTAGAGATTGGTCTAGGTACATTGGAATTGAGTTTTTGCAGAATATGTGGGTCAATTATCAAATTATTAATTAGTTCAAAAATAAAAACTATGTAGTGACAATCACGACGGCAACTCAAGCTATTCATAGCATGTTTAGCTAACAATGCATCTTGGGGAAATCCAATTGGTGGATAGATAATGTCTGATCTGTAGGAGTTTTAGGAAACGACGTTGTACTGATTCAACTTTCTCTGTATACAACTGATGAGATGGATTCCAGATTATGGATGCATATTCTAATTTTAATCTGATGAAAGTATAATATAAGGTTTTCAATGTAGATGGATCCGAGAAATCTCTGGAGATTCGTGCAATAAATCCATACATTCTGTTTGCAGCAGACAGAGTGGCTGCAGCGTGTAGTATGAAGGAAAGTTTGGTGTCGAAGGTAACACCTAGATCGGTAAATGTGAGAGGCCGTTGAAGTGGACTATCGTTTATTAAATACTAGTACTATGTTGCTGTATTGCTGCTGTTCAAATGTTTTGACAGAATCAGAATTAAAGAACTTGGGTGTGTGCAGCATTATAGAACAGTGCTTTCAAAACCTTGTTCTTCAGCGCCATCTAGTGGCGAGTTACAGAAAAATTGATAGCCTAAAAACCTTCTCTATGAAAAATTACTTATACATGTCAAGTTTCATCATGATCGGTTGAGCGATGTAGAAGTTTATCACTTACTATTGAAAAGATAAATAATTCATTGAAAAATATTGAGTTGTACCTTGGAATAAATAAACTGAAACTTAATATCGCTAAAACTAAGGCGATGATCATTATAACAAAGTATAAACAAAATAAAATTGGGAGAAACAGTCAAAATTAAAATTAACGAAACTGATGTAGAAATAGTGAGTAAAATTAAGTATCTAGGGTTCATTGTAGATAATACTATTTCATTGAATGATCATGCTGACTATGTAGTACGCAAAATATCAAAGAAACTGTATTTTTTTTCTAGAGTGACATCTCTATCATCAATGTATGCCAAAATATCGTGCTATAATTGCATAATAAAACCTCATTACGATTTTTGTGGGACTCTCTTATATCTCTTGAATCAGAACAAATAAAATCAATTACAAAAATTAGAAAATTGTGGAAAGCGAATAATATTACTCAGCAATAGAATGACACCTATACATAAAGCATTTCCATCAGTACTGAGAGTTTCATCGTTCCACCTCGAATATTACGGAAGATACGGGGGTGTTTCCATAAGAAGTGAGACAAATTCGGATTTTTCTCAGGAAAAAAGTGTATTCGTAGTAGGTTGGTAGTCCTGATCACGAATCTGAAGGAATTTTGAGCCTATTTTGCCCCTAATATATTTTACCGTTAAAATGGGGTGTTCCATCGCGAGTGGCGGACAGTGTATATCACTTTAGCCAACACCATTCAGGTGGTAGGTGCATTTTGAGCATTTCCATCAGTCCTGAGAGTTTCATCGTTCTACCTCGAATATTACGGAAGATATGGGGATCTTTCCATGAGAAGTGAGACACACTGTAGTTCTCCAATATGGATGGGTCCTTGAAATCAAACTTGAAAGTGCCTTTCTGTCCATGCTGGATACCTGTTCTTGCATGAGGATTCTTTTTGTCTCTCTTGAGTCTAATGAACTGGGGTATAGCTTTATTTTCAAAACACTTTTTGAAAAAATCACAGGTTTTGGTTTATTGTTTTACATCGTAGAAGAAGTTTGAAATACCAAAGGGGCAAATAGCTCGTTGAAGCTAATTTGAAATTATGAATACTTCGACCTGTTACTTGATGAAAATTAATAACACTTTCAATGATAGTAATTATAAAATTTTCATAATAAATTTAATTTAACACGTGTTTCGCTATATGGTAGCTTCATCAGTTACTGGAACATTAAACTATTCTACAATATCTTTTATATAACAAAACTTATTAGATAAATGATTACATCTGGTGAAAAAGTGGATGTTAAATAAACAATTATGAAATAAGCTGCGAGGGTTACAACAAAAAGTTTGTTGATAAAACTAGGCAGGACTATAATAAAGCGTTTCAAAGAACATGTTTCACATATACGGTTTCATAGACGAGAGAAGTCTAGTGTTGCTCAACATAGCAACAGAATAAATAAGAAATGTTTGATATTGTTGAGATGGTACATGACAACTTGGTTTGAAAATCTCTGAATGTTTTGGAATAGAAAAATGTGGAAAGAAAGATATGGCAAAAAAAATCTGAACACCGACAAACGTCCCATTCCAGAAAGTGGAAACAAACCAGGAAAATATAGGTATAATTAGTCATTAATATATAAATCATGATTGAATATGCTAACAAAATAACGAACACTAGGGAACTCATTCAATGAAACTCTTTACTGAGTGATTATTCATCTAGATGTATATTAGTTTCATTTATTTTCTGATGTTGGTTAGCGTAACGGGCGTCGAGAGACATTGTTTTGTGTCAGGTGTATTTTTTTTACATCATAGGTTACAAGTCTTCCTATCAACTCAGTAAATCACTCTTTTAAGTTGTCGGTTTGTTTTTAAATCAGTTCATCTCATGTACAAACAACATAGAGAAGACATTACATCAGTATCAAATGATGAAACACTCCCTGCAATAGATCACTTTTTTGACTATTTTTTTTAGACTTTAATTAATATGATTGAAAGGTCGTTTATATAAATTACAAATAAGTTCAGTGGGAACAGTATGGTATAAATGTAACAATAAGTGAAAAGGTTACTGATTTGCAGTAACCTTAACAATTTTATGAAGTGTAAGAAATTAGATATTCATCTGATGTGATATTAGTATGGTGTGAAAATTTTGATTATTGTTATTTATAAAAATACAGTCGTTTGGGAGATAAGTGGCAAAATAATGAAATGTGTTATCTCTATTTCAAATGGCCTTTCAGAAATAATACAAAATGTACCTCAGATGATCAATTCGATTTTGTTTTTTCAATTAATAACAAATAAATATCTAGCATTTCAGATATATTTCAATAGTTCTCGAGAATACAATTTCAAAACTATTTATATTATTTTTTATAATCATCAATAATTGACTTTCTAATATACTGTTGTGGATGATTGAGTGGAATATTATGTTACAGTTCATCACTTAAGGAATTTTCTTATAGGCATCTAAATGGGAGTGGAAAAAACTAAATCCGAGAGAGCCAAAACTCGGCCCACCTCCATGTCCTCGTCTAGGTCACAGCTTTACATTGGTTAACGCCAGGGTATACCTATTTGGTGGTCTGGCCAATGATAGTGCTGATCCAAAAAGTAATGTTCCACGTTATTTAAACGACCTTTATACCCTAGATATACGTAGTAGTCCCATACAATGGGACATTCCCCAAACAAATGGACCTTCCCCACCTCCACGAGAATCTCATACTGGTGTCGCGTATGTGGACAAGAAAAAAGGCAGATCATTCTTGGTAATATACGGTGGCATGAGTGGATGCCGTTTAGGTGATTTGTGGTTCCTGGACACTGAAACAATGGCCTGGCTGAAACCGCAGGTCTCTGGCCCCTCACCCCTGCCGAGATCTCTTCACACATCAACTCTCATAGGACATAGAATGTTTGTTTTCGGCGGATGGGTCCCTGTAAAGGCTGATGAGGTTAAAACTGCTAGTAACGAAAATGAATGGATGTGCACTAGCACTATGGCATGCCTCAACTTGGAAAGCATGAATTGGGATGAACTCAATATCCACTCTGAGTCGGAAACTAGTTTACCTTGTGCAAGAGCTGGTCATTGTGCAGTTGGAATCAGCACCAGGCTTTATATCTGGTCTGGCAGAGATGGGTACCGAAAAGCATGGCAAAATCAGGTAAGAGAAAGGGTTTGTTTGTTGTCTTTTTTGATGTTAAAACTTGAATAAATGTGAATGGGTGATTGTAAATAGGAATGTAAATCATTTTTTTCAAATCTTGAGTTGAGAACAGTGGTGTTCTCAGAAAGTTTTTTGAGTTTTTCTCAAAACAAAAAGTGACCAAGGTACCTATTAATGATCAGCTGTTCATTTATTTGCCTTTTAATTTTTGTAAACGGACTCTGGAGTTGATCATTGAAAAGTATTATTTATAAAGATTCTATTGTATACAGTATCTGCCTTGGTGTTTTCTAAATACTTCTTTGATGTGGACACCAATAATTTCAGGCAGGTTTGATTTTTATTTGTAGAGCCAAATAAGAACTGAATAATAATAACAACCAAGTAGATATTTTTTGACATATTTAATAACACATAACCTCCATTATATTTAAACATAGTATTGTGAGAAGCTCTAGTCCAATGGGGATAATAGAATTCAGTATGTTGAACTACATGCATGCATAAACTTGGATTTGATTAAAAACAAATTGTTTTTTTTCCTAACTATAACTGGAATTGTAACCAAATGATAAGAATCATTGATTGAATGAATAACATTGAAATATAATTTTATTTTCGGTTTAATAATGGATGAACATTGAGTTTCAAAAATGTTGAAAAAAGCTTCAGAAAATTTTTACATGTTTTCTTCAACATGTGTGGTACACAAAACATTATCATTCTTATGGAGTTATCTATAACATAAGGACTTTTGTTGGCTTCCATTTAAATGTAATTTTTTCATGTGATTTGTCTATCATTGAATAGGTTTTAATGGGCATAAGTCCACTCTAATTTTTTGTTCATATTAGCTGTTAATCCTAATCTTCCAAAGTTCCACAAACTTTTTTTTCACTTAGCCGTTAAGAAATTTAATGTCACATCATTTTCTTGACATCATATTACAAAAAACTCAAGATTCTGTGATTTGGTCAAATCTTTGTTTATACCAGTCTGTTCGGAGCTGGTATCTGGTCTTCTCCTTTACTCTATTAATCATTTCATCATTCAGATCCTTTTCGAAAAAATGTGTAAACATGTGTTTTTATATTTCACCACAAGCTGGTGCATTGATTGAGATACTTAGTATCTCATCATACTTATAATTTGGTGGATATTTCAACAGCTAACTTCAGTTTCCTTTCCGAAAACTTCTTCATAACTTTTGACTTTGTACTTGCTAGGAAATTTTCACATTTTGAAAACGAGCAAAATTTGGTGTAGAATATATCCCAGCATCAACAAAATTACTATTCAAGGGTATATAGGGAAGCAGTACAAATTCGAAAACACAGACAATTTCTGACAATATCTAGTTACCTGTCCTTAAAAGTACACAAAAAAGGTCAGGTAATTCGATCAAGAAAAACCAAGCCACGCCTACTAATAATAATATAAAACCGGTGTCAAATACCAGCATCATAGTTACCGCATTCGGAACGGGAACAACAACTCGAGCACTAACTCGGAAACTGCGACCGTTACACCGCCTTTAATAATGCCCACCACAGTTGTAGACGAAACGTCAGGCATAAAAACCTGCAGAACGATGTACGACAGTACATCACATAGATGACCGCGGAAACCTATCTGAACATATCTAGTATATAAAATTCTCTTGTCACAGTGTTAGTTGTCATACTCCCCGGAAACGGCCGTCTACCGATGGCATTTCTCACTCAGTAACAGCACGGAGTAGGGATGAGACCGAAGCCGGTCTCCTGCCTCTCTCACACAATTAACCTTCTCTCACTGCCTATACAATTTTCGGCCATTATTATTGTTATCATCTAGCGTAGCTACAGTTTGCGATGCCACCGAAGCTGTTAATCATTCAGCAGAGTTTTTGAAAAATTGGTTAAGGCTTTCGCGGCTGAGATTTTCATTCGGGTTTGAAGGCCGTCGTAATTTGGAACTGTATTCTAACGTTTCGCCAGCACGAGTGGCTGGCTTCTTCAGAGGTTTTTTCATCTTGACGATTCACCGATGACGGGTGATTTCCAGTTCGTAGGTTGTTGTCATGTTGACTCAGGTAGTCCGCCTCTCTTGTTGGCCGAAGTGTTCTTACCTGTTGATGACGTAACATTGCATTGCGCTGTTGCCACAAGTGTTATTACCTGTTAATGACGTATAATGCTGAATGAACATCGGGGAAACTGTATATTATGTCAAATAGACAAATCTGCAGTAGCGGAACAAGTGCTTAGTGAAGGAGATCACACGATACTGTTTGAAGATGTGAAACTACTTGCCCCCAATCATGGATACCACAGTTGGCTTGTACGGGAAGCCATAGAAATCCATAAACATACGGAAAACTACAACAGAAAAGAGGAGGTGCTAACGCTTAACTGGATTTCAAATCCCATACTAAATGATGCTAAAGTAGCAACAGCGCAATGCAATGTTACATCATTAACAGGTAATAATACTTCTGTCAATAGCAACGCATCAACAAGAGAGGCGGACTACCTGAGTCAACATGACAACAACCTACGAACTGGAAATCACCTGTCATCGGTAAATCATCAAGATGAATAAACCTTTGAAGAAGCCAACCACTCGTACTTGTGAAACGTTAGGATGCAGTTCCAAACTACGACGGCCTTCAAACCCGAATGAAGATGGTAACCCGATGAGTCATACAAATATTAATGAAAAACTTTGTCAAATCCAACATTTTAAATGGCAAGTTCCGAGGTGAAAATGTGTCAATACCACGTATCCCCATTATACTTAGAGATGTGCCATCCATTTTGAACGCGTGCAATTTCCAATTAGATCGACATTTGCAAGGAATGATAATGAGTCCCAAGGCCAGACAATGTCTGTTTGTCGCTTGTGTTTGAGCACACTATGTTTTTCACATGGACAATTATACATATGTCGCATGCTCTCGAGTGGGCAAACCATCCAGTTTGTATTAGCTGAACACACTATAGCATTGAGAGAATAATATCATTTGTGAGTGTTATTTATATATATATATA